TGATGTCATCAGTACGCCTCTGTTCCAATTGACCCAGATTTATGCTGCGTGCTCCCAGAGTCTAGACCAGGGGTCACCAACCTTTTTAAGGCTGAGGGCTACTTCAAGGATGCTGGGTCACAAGAAGGGCTACTAATAACTGGAGGGATCAGCATTCAAACTTGATTTATAATAAACATATTTTTATTTTTTATTTTAATTTCTGATTTCCTTTAAGGTATTGTCATTTTAAAATGTTTGTAAATGCTTAAAGGCTGTATAAATGATTAAAAAAGAAGAGCAACAGAATAAAATTAACTTTCAAAGTGAGTTGTTCTTTTTTCAGAAGATGCTGAGGGCCCCCCATGTGGTCCTGGAGGGCTCCTTGGTCCCGTGGGCACTGCGTGGGTGACCCCTAGTCTAGACTTTCCTGTGTTCTTCTCAGGAACGTACTTGGCGAGAACACAAGTCCGTGCTCACGTTCTAGTAAACTGAGAAATGGCCAATGACTTCAGACCCTCCTCTCCTCCTGCAGATTCGACCGACGTAATAAAATGTTAAGCAATCAAATGGGAAGAAGTTGACCCTCTAAGACACACCCTTCCTCATTTGCATAATGAGGCAGTTAAACCTCAGAGAAAACGACAAACCTGATGATGAATAAATGATGAAGCTCAGAGAAGCTTGATTGGTGAAAACCTTCTATGCTAGTATTAGATATGGATTAAAAGAATAAAAAAAGAGTCATAATCCTTAGAGAAAATCATAAACAGCCATGTTTGTTTGGATAATCTAGGTTTCTATTCCCAATAAAACACCTACATTGTGCCACAGTGGACATCACCACTGATGGAGTGGAGGAGACCACCGTCGTCACGGCTACGGTGCTGGAGGGACTGGAGCTGGCCGGGAAAACCACCGTCTGTTTCTGGGTGGGGGTGGTTAGAATGGAGGTGGAGCCCAGCTTGGCCATGGCGGCGGCGTTATGGGTGTGAGACTTAGACAGGATGTTGGGCACAAAGCCGGAGCTCGGGGAAGTCGTGACGATGATCACCTGGTGTAAAACAAGACGTTTGAACGTTTGTGAAGAATGTTTAGAGCTATAACCGCCCAGATATGTAAAGAAACGCAGCTGACCTTCTGTGTGGTGGTGCTGGTGGTCTGGAGGGCGGGTTTGGTGAAGGTGATTTTGACGGGGGACAGGTGAGGGGGGAGGGAGTTGGCGATGCTCTGCATGATGTTGCTCATCTTGGGGCTGCCGCTCACCGGCACCGTGATGTTCTTAGACACCGACGGCGACACCTTGGTCACATCCTTCAGCAACACCGGCGACGAGCTGGACGAGTTGGTGCGTCTTCGTTTGCGAGGCTTTTCATCATCGTCGGAACAACTTACACCTGTGAAGAGAGCGGAGCAGGAACTCACAGATCTAATCGAAACGTATCAGTTTCCTCTGATACCAGGGATCGGATTCTGCTCTTAAAATCAAATACATATAGATAAAAATGCAGTTTTTATTTAAAGCAGATGATGTCTATTCTATTTTATAAACTTATATATACCTGCTGCTTATTGGAGCATCATGCTATGGAGTTGTTTGCCTGCTAGGTGCATGAATGAAACATTTGGGATGGGCCAAGAAATAAATAAGTTCTGCTGCTATAGGCTTAGACTGCTGGAGGACATAGGGACCCCTACACTGGGAAAAATTGATGTCTAGATAAGTCATTTTTTCTTTAAATAAGTGTGTTTTTTCTTGAATTGAGGAGGTAGGTGAGACACTTTGCCAATGGAACGAGACAATTTACATTTAAAATAAGAAAAAAACTATTTTGTTGTCTTATTTCAAGTGTATATTATCTAATTACCTTATTTTAAGAGTGAAAATTCTCATTCCATTGGCAAAACATCTTATCAACCTACTCAAAGCAAGAGTAAATACACTTAATTTAAGACATTTTGACTTATTTCTAGATCGTTTTTTGCAGTGTATTTCATCATTCTGCTTCATTCTATCTCTATTCTCCCACTCTGCAGAATCTGTTAGTTCAATCTCTAACGTTCTGCTCTCTCTGCTTTTT